AGACCAATTTCTAATGAATAGATGCGAAAATTTTGAACAAAAGGCAATTATAGCAATATACCACAAAGATTATACACTATGACCAGGTAGGATTTATACCAGGAATGCAGGGCTGGTTCAATATTAGGAAAACTATCAACAAAACTGACTACATCAATAACAAAACCAACAGAAATCACATGATTATCTCAATAGATGATGAAAAAGCTTTGGACAAAATACACAAAATACAACACCCATTCCTATGAAAAACAATAGGGAACACAGGAATAAAAGGGATGTTCCTTAAAATGATAAGCAGTATCTATCTAAAGCCATCAGCAAGCATTATCTGTAATGGGGATAAGCTAGAAGCCTTCCCAATAACATCAGGGGTGAAGCAAGGATGCCCATTATCACCACGATTATTCAGTATAGTACTAGAAATGTTAGATATAGCAATAAGAGAAAAAAAAATTGAAGGAATTAGAATAGGCAATGAGAAAACAAAACTATCACTCTTTGCAGATGATACGATGGTATACTGAGAGAACTCCATCTCAACTAAAAAACTACCTGAAATAACTAACAACTTTAGCAAAGTTGCAGGATATAAGATAAACCCACATAAATCATCAGCATATTTATATGACCAAAAAAGCCCAGCAGCAAGACAGAAAGAGAAATTCTATTTAAAATAATTGTAAACAACATAAAATACTTGGGAGTCTACCTGTCAAGACAAACCCAGGAACTATATGAACACAATTACAAAACACTTTCCATACAAATAAAGTCAAATCTAAACAACTGGGAAAATATCAATTGCTCATGGGTAGTATGAGACAATAAAAATGCCAGTTCTGCCTAAACTAATTTACTTATTCAGTTCTATACCAATAAAACTGCCACAAAATCATTTGACAGAGCTAGACAAAATAACAAAATTCATCTGGAAGAACAAAAGGTCAAGAGTATCAAGCGAATTAATTTAAAAAAAAAAAATCAAAAGAAGGTAGCCTAGCAACACCAGATCTCAAACTATATTATAAAGCAGTAATCATCAAAACTATCTGGTACTGGCTAAGAAAGAGTGGTAGATCAGTGGAATAGATTAGGTACACAAGACACAGTAATCAATGATCAGTTCAATGACTAGTGTTCGATAAATCCAAAGACCCCAGCCTTTGGGATAAGAACTCACTATTTGACAAAAACTGCTGGGAAAACTGGAAAACAATAGGACACAAACTAGGTATAGACCAACACCTCACACTGTATACTAAGATAAAGTCAAAATGGCTTTAGATTGATTTAGACATAAAGGGTGACAGCATAAGCAAATTAGAACAAGGAATACCTGTCAGATCTATGGGGAAGGGAGAATTAATGACCAAACAAGAAAGGGAGCATAATGAAATGTAAAATAGATAATTCTGATTACATTAAAAAAAAAAGCTTGTGTATAAACAAAACCAATGTAATCAAGATTAGAAGGAAAACAGAAAGCTAGGAAATAAGCTTTACAGCAAATATCTCTGATAAAGGCCACATTTCTCAAATATATAGAGAACTGAGTCAAATTTATAAGAATACTAGTCACTCAATTGTTAAATGGTCAAAGGTTATGAACAGGCAATATTCAGATGAAGAAATCAAAACTATTTATAGGCATATGAAGAAGTATGCTAAATCACTTTTGATTATAGAAATGCACATTAAAACAACTCTGAGGTACCATCTCACACCTATCATATTGGCTAATATGACAAAAAAGGAAAATGATAAATGTTGGAGAGGATATGTGAACTGACCCAACCACTCTGGAGAACAATTTGGAACTATGCCCAAAGGACAACCAAATTGTGCATACCCTTTGACCTAGCAGTATCACTACTAGGTGTGTATTCCAAAGAGATCATAAAAAAGGGAAAAGAACCTACACGTGCATAAATATTCAGAGCAGCCCTTTGCATGGTGGAAAAATATTGGAAATCGAGGGGATGCTGCCCATCAATTGGGAAATGGATGAACAAGCTGTGGTATATGAATGTATTAGAATGCTATTATGCAATAAGAAATGATGAAAAGGCAGATTTCAGAAAATCCTGGACAGACCTGTACGAAAAGATGCAAAGTGAAATGAGCAGAACCAGGAAAACGTTGTACATAGCATTAGCAACACTGTGTGATGATAATTATGAATAACTCAGCTCTTCTCAGCAGCACAATGATCTAAGACAAAGGACTCACAAAGGAAAATGCTATCCAGCTCCAGATAAAGAACTGATGGACTCTGCAGATTTAAACATATTTTTTTTACTTACTTTACTCTTTTCCCCTTTTTGATCTGTTTCTTCTTTCACAACTGTGACTAACATGGAAATGTGTTTTATATGACGGTACATGTATAACCTACATCAAATTGCCTACCATTTTTGGGAGGGGAGGGAAGGGAGAAAAATTTGGAACTCAAAATCTTATAAAAATGAATGCTAAGAATCTTGACATGTAATTGGGAATAAACAAAATACTATTAAAAATCAATAAAATAAAAATGCACTCCAAAATCAAATGCATAGGAGTACAGTTTTCTCAGTGTGTATATACTCACCCTTAGTATACAATTTGTTATACAACACTACACTAACCAGTACATCTTCAATCTCATCCATTAGCATTGGTGGGAAATGGGCCAAGCCTGAGGGAAATAGCCTCTGTACAACTCGAGTCCTTTCATAGGTAAAAAGCCCCCTTGCTAACATCACCAGTGAAGATCTTTGCTTTAAAAACTGCCTTTCTCAGATGATATTTGTAACTCATGAGACCTCTGTCAGTATTAGGGTAGTTGGAGGGAAAAAATTATATGTATGTGTGTTTGTGTGTATATATATATATATATATATATATATATAGATAGATAGATAGATATAGATAGATATAGATATTATATATATATATAGATATGTAGATAAATAGATAGATAAATAGAAAGATAGAGGGCACAGGGTGAGTTGAAGATGAAGGGGTCATATCTGGAGAACAAAATTAAGTGGTGAGAGAGGATTATACTGGGAGAAAGAGAAAGGGAGAGGTAGAGTGGGGTAAATTATCTCACAAAAAACAGAAAAGAAAAGGCTCTCATAGTGGAGGGAAAACAGGGGAAGGTGAGAGGGAATGAGTGAATCTTATTCTCATCAGATTTGGCTTAAGAAGGGAATAACATACACACTCAATTGGGTATGGAAATCTATCTTACCCTACAGGAAAAAAGGGGGGAAAGGGACAAGAGAGCAGGGGGTTTATAGAGGGGAGGACACACTGGGAGAGGGGGTAATCAGAAGCAAACACTTCTGAGGAGGGACAGGGTCAAAAGAAAGAACAGAATAAATGGGGGACAGAATAGGATTAAGGGAAATAGAGTTAGTTTTTCACAACATGACTACTATGGAATGCATAACTGCACGTGTATAACCTGTATTGAGTTGCTTGCCTTTTCAATGAGGGAGAGTGGGGAGAGAGGAAGGGAAAAACTTTGGAACTCAAAGTTTTAAAAACACATGTTTAAAAAAAAAATGTTTTCACATGCAACTGGGAAATAAGAAATATAGGAAATGGGGTACAGAAATCCATGCTGCCCTACAGGAAAATAGAAGGGGAAGGGGATGGGGGGGGACAGAAGAGAGGGCAGACTAGGGGAAGGGGTATTCAGAATGCATGCCATCTTGGGGTGGGGGGAGGGGCGAGATGGAGTGAAAATTTGGAACTCAAAATCTTGTGGAAGTGAATGTTGAAAACTAAAAATAAATAAATTTAAAAAACAAACAAACAAAAAAACTGCCTTTCTCCTTGTGTTGTCCTGAATACAGATCAGAGGAGCTTTATCAGACAAAACTAGGCAAGTCCCACAGGTTCCCAGACAAAACTACCCATCAGTAAAGGTCAGGCTTCCATTTCCTATTTTGGAGCTACCGGTGAGTACACGCAAACATGGCAACACAAAGTTGTGCCTTCCCACAACAGCGCTCCTTAGTGCACAGCGGCATGCTAGGCTTTTCTCTGCAAAAACTCAGTGGGCCAGAAATCTGTGCAGATGGTCAAGCTTTATTCTTTCTTCTCAATCTTGTTCCTTCCACCCTTCCAAAGCAAAACCCTTATCAGAACTTGATGCTCTGGGCACCACTGATTTGTGTGTTACTGTAGCTTAGGGTTGATGGACCACTGCTATTCCTCTCTCAAATATTTATGCCTCTTCTCTCTCTTCCTTCTCAAACCTATACTTTTAAGAAGGTTTAGAGGATCACTTCAGTAGAGGATATGGGGTTCCAATCCCATCCTTGGGTTTGTAATTATGGTAGAGAATGAAGAAAAGCTGGAAACCCCTCCTCCAGAAAAGAGAATCCAGTTTGTATTCATAAGGAACAATTTGAAGTCAGGAGGTTTTGTGGTGTATGAAGTTGTCACTTTTCCCAGTGTACACCAGCACAGCTGCCTTCACAAATTACCCAACAAAGGCCATCCTGTGCAGCATTCTCCAAGGCCTCATGGCAGGTGCCTACCCAGCTTCACCCAAGGAATGCCCCTGGACTCTCTGGCCTCAGACATCACAACTTACATTCCAAAGACACAGTCAGGTTTCAGTGGGACTCTGGGTGTGTCACTCAGAGGCAGGACTAGGAAAAGATCTCAAGAGTCCAGAGGTTCTGTTTGCACTACAGAGTATCTCAGCATCTTTACTGTAAGGAAGGGAAATTTCTGCTCGCATCCATGTACCGATCACTTGACTGTCCTTCTCCTCTTGACCAACCCACTGGCAAGCTCACTAAACTGCCTTCTCATTTCCCATCAGTAAAGAATGACCAGCATCGATACCCTGATACTCTTGTTCACAAACATCTGCAAGCTGGGCAACAGCACAGATGAAAACTAAGCAGCCCTGGAGGGCCTTGACCTCAGGAACTGTCAATGAAGGTCTGGGTTAAGTGTCAATTACAGGGAGGAAGAGTATACAAAGTACATACCACAGATGCAAAGACATATTTTTGGTCCTTTTCTTGTAGCAACAAAAGTACATCAGTCAACAGGACAGCAAGAACATCTGTGAAGAAAGCAAAGTAAGAACGTGAAATACTGTAAGCAGACGACTGAGAAGGATCCGAGTCAGAGGACTGCACTTGCTACCCACACCACCTCAGACAAGTCACTTCACCACTCTGGGACTCAGTTTCCTCATTCGTAAAGTGAGGGGATCGAATGAGATGATCTCTAGGGTCCTATGAGTCTCCTCAGATAGTTCACATGCAGTCTGGGGATAGACTTTAAGTACAATAATTTTGCTCTCTGGCATCTAAGAAGCCCCTTGGTGTGAGTGGAAGTTCTTGGCCTTCTCTCATCTTTGCATTAGTAAAAAAAAGGAAGCGTGTTGCTTTCCCATTTCAACCTCCAGCAAACTCAGCAATAAGCCAATGAACAAGCTAGTCCCTCTCTGAAGGCATACATTCTTGTACAAATCTGACAAGGAAATTCTCTGCACAGTTTGTAACATGTTCCGAAAGGAGCAGATCCATGTGGCTTGGCCACAGCAACACCAAGAACATGGGACATCAAGCTGTGAGCACAGGAAGAAAGGAGCTGGTTTGAAGCTGCACCAGCATGGAAATCTGAACAGCACCAGCTTTTTAAAGACAGCCTTGCTTTCTGCTCTGATCTTGTGTGGGCAAAAAGGTGTCACGGGGTTGACACGACATGGGCTGATGTTTATTTCCTTGACTGCAAACCACGAGTCTCTCAAAATAATGTGTTTTCATGGAAGAGGGCTCATGAAGTACTCACATAAGAGTTGAACACACTATAATTAGCTTAAATATTTCCCCAGACTAGCAAATTAGGGAAAGAAATGATTTGTATAGTTAATGTATCATCATACTTAAGAACCATAATGTTCTAAACTTGGCTTAAATAAACAATAAACCTCCTAATTGCCTTTCTTTACACCCCAGTGCTCAGCACAGTGCCCGGCACACAGCAAGCACTTAATAAATGCTTGCTAAGTGACCCACTTTATTCCTTGTTGAGAGGTTTACCTTTCAGACGCCCTGATGCAGTCTTCCAGCACAGCATTCCATCAAGATGGAGCTGCCTATGGAGCATGTCTTCCTTCCGGAAGGTCAGCCCATTTTTGAGCTTGCCAGAGGACTTGAGGTCCATCTTGCCAACAATCTCTTTGAGACGCTGCCACTTCTCACATTCGTTCACTTTGGCATCAACTTGTGTGATGATGTCTTTTATTAGGCTGAGAGCCTGGTTCAAATCTTCATAATCTTCAGTCCCAGCTACCACGGACAGCAGAGTTAGTTCTTCTCATTGTTTTTTTTTTGTTTTTTTTTTTTTAAAGCACAGCAACCACAAGAAATGACAATCTCACCCAGAGCTGTACAGCACCCCAAGGACCCTTCACAAATTTAAAATTCTCATAGGGCTCCTTGAAACAAAGAACTACTACTTGTGCTAATGCAGAATTCTCGTTTTTAACCCATGAAAATAAATGCAGCTAAGGTGACCCCAAAATACTCTTCATGGCTCAGGGCCAAGGGAAATTCCATAGGGAGTTTTAGTATTCAAAGGCAAAAAGAGGATCGTAATTACAGCACATTAGGAAGACAGTATGTGGGACAACAGTTAAACAATCCACAGTACTTTACTTATCAAGCAGCACTATGACGCTCACAGAGAGGGTTAGAAAATCCAGTACCTTCAGTATTCTGAATAATGCGCTCCACCAGCACAGGATACTTGGTAATGCGCTGAGTAACGAGAAGAATGCACTCCTGAACACCAAGCCGCCTCACAATAGAGAAGTTGCCAATTTTCTATGGAAAGAAAAAGCCAAAGCTTACAAACGCTAACTCTTGAGCAACCAAAATTCAGCCCTCTACACAGACCCATTAACACGACAATTTGCTTTCTATGTCTCCATTTTCTGATCAGAAACACTCGGCCTTCTGACACTCGAGTTACAGGGCATCAGGCTGCCTGTGCTTTTGGAAACACAATTCTCAACTTGTAAAAACTAAAAGAAAAAAAGAAGGGAGGGTGTACCTCCCAGGGAAGACAAGAGGTTTATGCATCAAGCCTGGTTGGAAGCCAGCCCTTCCTTGTCGCTGGAAGGGGGAGAGAAACAAGTTTTATTCTTCAGAGCACATTGCCAATTATCCTTTCATGCTTACAAAGCTATGGAATTATATGTTAAAAAAAAAAAATGCCAGCAGGACTCCAAAGTCATTGATTCAGAAAATAACCAAGAATTTGGCCTTGACCGCCCCGGTGATAACACTACATATTAGCTTTTTTCGCTATTTGGTCAAAATATTTCTCTTAGACATTTTTCTGGTTCTCCAGCATGAGGTGGCACATAGCACTGCTTATCAGATTGGTACATGACCTCCAGGCACCCTCTCCTTTCCCTTCCTGTTCAGTTTAGCTCCTTCTGGACCAAACTAGATTGTTGTACTTTTAAAAATAAATACTATTGCAAACCATTTAGGACTCTCTTGCTCACGAACAACAGCATCAGGGAACACAGGAGGGAGCCAAGTGCTCAAAACTTACAGCCACAAGGCTCTTACTTCTTGTTACCTTTATCATGTTTTGGAATTTCTTGTTTTGCTGGAGCAGTTCCTTGTAGTGAGTGACGGCTTCGTTGTGACCACAACAAAAGATACCATATTTTTCTTTCATTCTTTCTCCATTTTCACCTGAAAACTAATACAGGAGACAGAAAACAAAACATGGGAAGCCTGTTTGCAACCACCAGAGTTTATCTGAATCAACTTCATCAAGTTTCAAACAGACTGTCTAATTTACTTCCAATTTCAGTTTCTCCTCTAAAAAGAAAAGGGAAACTTTGGAGGTAAAATAAGGGCTTTAATAGGCTGCAGAAGGAAACAATAACTTGATAACCTATAAGCCAGAGCGATCCAGAAAATGTGAGGAAAAAAAGCAGAAAAAGAAACAAGGATTGCTGTAACAAGCATTCTTCTTATTAAGAGTACAAAATAACACTCAGTTTACAAATTGATTCAAGAAAGAACTCTGGCATCAAGAGAGAGATTTGCTACTCTCCTCAGGAATTTCTGCTTGTCATTTCAGAAGTGACCCAAAGCATACGTGCCAGCTGGGAACAGATCCTCCCAGAAGTCAAATACCAAGACAGCCCCCTCAAATGGGCACACTCTTTAGTTCTCTATGGTCCCAGACCACAAGCCATCCTACTGATCAAAGACGCTGGAATGCCTACTGGATGCTGACTTCCCCCAACTATGATAGTTCCCACCTGTTGTACCAAGAGGTCTCCAATTTTCTGGATCACATAATTCTGATCACTCCCTTCTGCCAAGGATTCTCTGCGTCGCTCCTTCAAGCGGTACAAGAACTGCCCGTGCATCTCCAGCAAGTCATCCACGCACGGGAAGATGCGGTTGAGGACTCTGCTACTGAACTGCATCTCTTCCTTCAGCGCTTTTGAATAGACTTTCAACATGATCTTCAGGGTTCTGACATGATGCACTTCAGTCTGTATTAACTCTGTAGGGGATACAGAGTGCCCACACTAAGAAGCAGCTGCAGTCCTGTCATGAGCCTTCCCTTCACACGCCTGTTCCAGCTCCAGCCCCCATTCGCTTGTCCAGGCTGACCTGCCACACCCTGAATTTACTTCTTCCAGTCTCCACCTCTCAGAATTTTTCTCTTCTTCAAGACACAGTTCTGGTACCACCTCCTTAAAGAAGGTGATAAACCCCAGTGATTATAGGGTTCTTCCTCCTCAAAGTGTATTGTATTTATTTATCTGGGCAGCTAGATAGCACAGTGGATAGAGCACTGAGACTGGAGTCAGGAATACTCATCTTCCAGGGAGCTCAAATCTGGCCTCAGACACTTATTAGCTGTGTGACTTTGGGCAAGTTACTTAACTCTGTTTGCCTCAGTTTCCTCATCTGTAAAGAGTCTGAAAAGGAAATGGCAAACCCCTCTAGTGTCTTTGCCAAGAAAAACCCAAGTGGGGTCATGAAGAGTCAGACACGACTGAAAGCCTCACATACAGCTAGCTGGGTGCTTAACAAATGTCTGTTCATGATTCTAATCACTATTTAAAGTTAAACTAATTTTCAGGTTTTCAAAGTGCTTCATATATATGAATTACCTCAGTGGATCCTAATAAGCATGGGAAGGATCCTTGCTGAGGGTCACACATCAAATAACACTCAGCAAACATCACAGCAAGTATTTACAGAGATTCCAGCAAATCCACTGCCTGTTGGGTCAATCCACTAAACCTAAGTCTAAGTGAGAAGGAGCTTGGTGTAGACAGAACAGCAGAGGCAAGAAGAAGAGTGAGAGAGAACAGTGTGTGATTAGAGTGTGAAATGGTGGAAAATAGATCTGGAGTCCAAAGACTTGGGTTCAAATCCTAGCTCTCCAACTTAGTACCTGCATGGCTCCAGACAAGAGATTTCATAGCCCAGGGGCTCACTCTCCTCATCTAGGGAAAGGGCAAGGGGCAGCTAGGTGGCGCAGTGGATACAGCTCCAGCCTTGGAGTCAGGAGGAGCTGAGTTCAAATCCAGCCTCAGACACTTAACACTCACTAGCTGTGACCCTGGGCAAGTCACTTAACCCCAACTGCCTCAAAAAAGAGAGAGAGAGAGAGATGGGCAAGCATCTAGATCATCTTTCCAGTTCCTATCAACCCTAAATCCTATGACCTTACAACAGACTGGTTTCTCTGTGTAGTTGGTACACTGACCCCAAAGGTGATTTCAAAAGAGGAGTTCCAAAAGTGTTTGGGGCAAGATGTCAACAGGGAAGGACAGCACTCACTTGGGCACTGCCTGCCTGCCAGGTGAGGGTGGGCACAGGGAGAGGGAGGGATGGAGAAAAGACCCAATCTCATGATTTTCTATTTACTTCTATTCCCATCAAAGCCTTGGAGTGTATCATTAAAGGGGCAGTTTGTGAGCATTTGGAAAGGCAAACAGTGACCAATAAGAGCCAGTCTGGACACAAGAGGGGATGGCAAACTAAATGTCTTTATTGGATTTATGGACAGGGTTACCAGACTGGCAGGGTGATCAGAAGGATGCCACAGACACACCAGAGCTAGACTGCAGCAAGCTACCCGTGTAATGAAGGGGATATGGAGTCAAAGTGATTAACCCCACCCAAAGACTGGTGATAGGACTGGGGGCAGTCTCAAGCTGAGTCCCCTTTGGATCTGTCCTTGGCCTTTTGCTGCTCAACCTTTTTAATCAACGAACTAAATAGAGGAAAAGACAGCACTTTCATCATATTTCTGGATAACTACAAAGCTGGGAAGGATAAGTAACATGCTAAATAAGAATCTAGATTCTAAAAGATCTTAATAGGCTAAAAAGATGGTCTGAATCTACTAGAAGGAAATTCAAAAGTGAGAAAGGTAAAACTTTACATTTGTTTAAAAAAAAAAAAGACAAACAACAGCAATGTAAATGACAACCGTGCAGGATGTGGAAAAGGGAAAAAATTTCCTAACACTCAGAGCTTTCAGAAGTGGAAAGAAGTGCCTCAAAAGACAGTGAGTTCTGAATCACTGCAGGTCTTCAAAGAGAAGCTGAGGGCAGAGGAGATCGCATTCAGGTGTGAGATGACCTGAGGTCTCTTAAAACTCAGGTTCCATGATATTAGATATAATTCATCATTCCATTGCCCTGTTTAAGTAATTTATAATGTGCTTTAGAATACTGCATACTGCTCAGGACAATCAGTTCCTTGAACAAGTATACTTTTTTTTAATATTTTTTTTTTTTTTTAAAAACAAGTATACTTTTAAGACACTCCATTGTTTCCGTGGGAAAGTCTACCCCTGCTACACATAATTTCAACTTCAAGTATTTCCCCCTCGGGGATTTTATGGACCCTTGGTGCATGGACTGACTCCACAAGCAAATACAATATGGAGAAAACTAACTCCAGTTGCTATGTTTTTTGAAGTAACCAATTGAAAGAGCTTTACAACTAGGCTATTACACAACAACAATAGTAATGGTGATGCTTTTGGAATGCAGAAAAAGGAATTAAGAAGCTTATTCTTAATTAACCACATTTTATTTGAGTATACTGGAGAAGCACAGAAGATAGACACAGTTAGCTCTTGACAGAATTGTGAATTGGGAAACCAATCTGAAAAACAATTTGGAATTATGTGAAAAAGATGACGAAAAAGTACATAACCTCTGACCCAGAGATCCCACTGATAGGCATATACCTCCCCCAAGGAGGTCACAAACACCAAAATATTCAGAGTAAATTTTTTGGGGGTAGCAAAGAAGTGGAAAAAGTAAATGCCTATTGTGGTGCAAGAATGTAATGGAATATTAATGTGCTCTAAGAAACAATGACTATGAATTCAGAAGCCTGAGAAGACTCATTATCTAAATGGATAACCAAGTAAAACAAGCAAAACCAGAAAAACAATATATACAATGACAACAATGTAAACAGAAAGAACAAAAAAAAAAAACTGAACCCTGTAATTTCAATGACTAAGTATGGCTCAAAAGAAAAAAATAAGAAAACACAACTCCCTCTTTTGCTTGTAGAAGCGAGAACTATGGGTGTGGAAGAGCATAGAAACTATCAGACCTGAAGTCTTGGTTAGTTTTGCTAATCTGCTTTTTAAAAAAGATTTCTTGTCATCAGGGATGGATTGCTGGGTAGGGAAGAATATATCCAGAAATGAAGGTGGTACAAAACCAAAAGATGGTAATTTTTGAACTGGGAAAACCCTCAATTTTTTGAGTACCTTACAAGAAGGATGGTGGATGGGTGAGATACTTACAACTTACATGTGGAGTTAAGATTTATCTATGTATCAACAATGCAAATTTGCTAAGTGTCAAATGCATGGTAGAGAGGAAATACTACAGAAGAGGAAAGGTAGATAGTGGTGAGCTAGGGCAGTCATGGAATGATCAGTGGAGGTGGTTAGACTGGAACTGTGCCTCAAAGAATGGGTAGAGATTTTAAAAAAGAAGATAGTAATTCTCTCAACCCACAGAATAACAAGACTCAGAATGCCCTGAGTCCTGGAAACAGTTCATCTTTCATTTACTGGTCAGGTCAACTCAGGGTGGGGGTTGATCTACAAGTACAGGCAGTGACTGCCATGGCCTTTTAAAGTAAATTAAAGATGACAAAATGCTTGGGGACAGTGGCCAGGTCAGCCCTTGCTGCCAAGATAAAATAACTTCACAGTCATATCTGTACACCAATTTAGCTCATTCTAATCTGCTGGACCACATAACTAGTGGCTACAGGCAATATAAACAACATACTTGAAAACAGCAAAGAACCCGACAAGTAAGATCACTAATGTGGTCATCCCCTTTGCCCCAACTGTCTTACCAGCTGCATTACTGGGATCTTATTTCCCGCATTTGAGGAAGAAACAAATGCTTCTGTGAGCCAATGATTCAGGAAAAACAATATTCTTATGAGATCCTGAAAAGGACCTCATTTCCTCTTGAAACAATGGTAAATGTATGCAAGAAAAAAAATTTAAGAGCTTTGACATTATTCTTATAAAAGCTGTCTGCATAGGATCATGAACAACATAATCGTTCCTATCAATGTTAAGTCTCCACCAAAATACAGCCCCTCCTAGCACTCTGACAAGGCCACAGACAGGCACTCCTTACAAAAACAGTGACAGCTCACAGCCAGAATCAAAAGACTGGCCACGAAGACCCCAAGTGACTGCACACCTCCTTAGGCCTGGAGTCCTATCAGAAATAATGAGCTGGCTGGCTTTCTGTGAAAACAAAATTGATTCTTCAATTCATTAAGCATTTCTTAAATGGCTATTCTGCGGTGAGCACTATGCTCTGACAAGTGCCAACTGACTCCATGTTAAGGTGCAGAAGGCAAAAGAATAACAATAATAATGCTGTGAGACAGGCGATGTGGAGGTAGGAGGCTAGCCTTGGAGGAGGAAGAAAGACCTGGGTTGAAATGCCGCCTCTGACATACGTAGACACATATCTATATCTATATCTACGTCTATAGCTATCCATCTACTAACTACATGGCCTCTCTGGGCTCCAGGCACCTTTCTAAACCACCAAGTTACCAAGGAGTTGTTCATCTGCACCAGTGGAGAGAATTTTAGTGCCAGTCCTACATCAATGAAATCACAGGTCCAAACCAAGTAACACTACTACCAACTTATCTTTATAAAACAAAAATAACGAGATAGGCTAGAGAGGCAGAATCCCCATCTGACAGAATAAGAAAGGCGCAGTGCTGGACCACCACCTGGTCCAATATTTCTGGCCCCAGAGAGGGCCTGGAGGAAATGGCTTAACACCATGACTGACACTCTGCTAAAAATAAGTCTTTTTCCAACATCTGGAAAAATGAACAACTGGAGGGTATTGCTAAGGAACAAATGGAAAGCAACACTTCTTACCGTAGATGACATCTTGCCTTTTCAGTACTTCCTTTTTTTGTTTCTTTGCATACAGCAGTTCCACAGAAAGACTCCAGGACTCAGCCTCAAATTCCTGTGCGTCAGCCTCTATTTCACTTCTCAGCGAGGCAGAGTAGGAATCTGAGGAAAAAGCACAAATGTTCTGGCTCATGAGATGCAGGCTCCTACTCTAATCCACCCTCCTTTAAGCCTTCTAAACACATGAGCAATAGCATGTGCTGCAAAGCAATTATTTGAAATCTTCAAAATAGTAAAAAGCCTTTTTATACCTTCCACAAAAATAGATTCAGTAGTTGATGATGCAAGTGAAAGAGAATCGTCCGTCGGCTGCTTGAATTTTGTAAATCCTGAGTCGGTATCATCCATCTCTCCTGTACCTGATCTAAACAGGAGAAAAAAAAAACAAAACACAATTTTCATCTGGCCAATTAGATTAGCAGCTAATTAGAGAGGTTTGGCTGTCTACTTTATATGACTTCCACATACACTTTCTCTTTGTTATAGGGATGATAAATTAGGAACACTGACTTATAGGAGTTTTATAACAAATGAGAAAAAAAACTAAGTCTTGAGGATAGGTTGTTGGCAGTCCTTTGGAGCTCATGCTAACCTGCCGGACCAATCTAGTAGTAGCTCCTTGAAGTAAAGAGTGGAATAACAGACCTCTTACTCTGAAAACACAAAGGTAAATGACCCCAGCAACTGTCTGAGGAATCTGATTCAAAGGACCATAATAAAAAGATAAGCATTAGCATAATGAATAGGAAAAAGATGAACACAGCAAGAAAACACAGAATCCTAACAGCTTTTAGAAATACAGGCAGCTAAAAGCCAAATGTTAGTTAGGGTTTCATCAACCAAAGAAAAGGCAGCCGGCAGTTTTACAAGTTCAGGATCATCTTTTTACAGAACATTTTAAATTCAGTGGCACGAAACATGCTTAATTAATCATATTGAAACAGAGATGGAAATCAAGATGCTCTGTGAAGAAAGCCAACCTACCCAAATCTATTCAGAGTTCCAGCCGTGTTCATTGCCGCCTGAAGACTCGCCCTGGTCGAGATAGTCATTCCGACATTCCTAGGCAGAACTGGGGTGCCATTAGATCCCAGGAGGGTGCTACGAGGCTGCTCCTTCAAAGAGGCTGCTACAGATGCAAACACAGAATTGGTGCTCAGAAAACGAGCAGGACATTGAAGATTCCTAGTTCTTAAGCCCCTTTCGGAATGTGGCTGAAGCGATGACAGAATCTTAGATGTTAAGAGTTCATTATCCAAAAAGACATTCTCATTCCATTTTCTGGAAAAAGACCCATAAAAAGACAGCTCGGGATGAGCCGAGAGGGAGCCGTTTCGGCTGCCGCTCTTGGAGCTTGCGCTGCCCATGCTGACCCCTGGGTCCTTCTGAGCGAGCACCGGGAGGCTCGGAGAAGTGCTGGCTTTATAGCCCCGAGTCAGCCTTCTAGAAATGTAAAGCCACTTAATTTACTGGATTGGCTAAAGCAGCAGGTCTGAGGTGCAGGAAATTGGTCCCTACTGTGCCCATTTAGTGTGGAAACTGCAAAGTATCTCCTCCATTTATAAAACACCAGAGCCCAACACTGTTCACAGGTGATAAAAAGCAAATATCATTTTACATCCAATGCGAATAAACAGATGGAAATGTCACTTTTGTGATGTAACGTAATGATGTAAATTACCTTACATCAGCACAACAGTGACTGACATTCATACCTAGGGTTTACTTACATGGACTTAGGATGATTTTTGAAGCTGAAGGGATTGCAAAGCAAAGTCTTTGGCTATACTGTGGTCAAACACCATGAACAGAACTTGAATATCAGATTTTTTGATACTAATGATAAAGAGTCATTTAATATGCAACACATATTAAGAGTTCCTTCCATTTGCTAATTAATTTAGAGATTCAAGTGATATATTTATCCTTATCTTTTCTACTAGAAAAAAATCCATTTCTCAGAATGGAAAAACCATCATTATACTAAATTTTCTTCTCCTCAAAATAACAATTGTAAGGCAAGCCTCACTTTTCGAGAAAGGCTGAGGACCAATTTGATTCTTACCACAAAAAAGCCATTTCAGAACTGCGCTCCATGCAAGGAGACATACATTATAAGGATTAAAATAAATCCGTCCAGTGGCTGGCTTTAGTGGGGTATCTGCTACCATTTGCCTTGAACTGGAAAATCCACCTCCAGGTCAGCAGAAGGGAGAGCAGTAAATGCATTACTTCTCAGCAGCCTATCTACAAACTGGTCCTTTTAGCATGAAGCAAGCCCAGAAAGTGAAGAGTTAGCTAATCCATACTGAAGACTCTCCATTTCAGAACTGGAATTAGAATTCAGATCCCAGGGTAGGCTTAATATGGACTAACATTTACAAGTGATCACAGCTGTACCTTCTTTACATAGAGAAATCATAAAATTTCTGGTAGAGAAGTGATGAAGAATGAGTTTGTAAATAATATTATCATTTAAAGTCTATGATTCAAGTGAAGTGATGTTACATCTAACCCAGGAATTCTTTATCACAAAAGTAACCCACATTTATGTATCAGTCTATATACACTACATCTCATCTGATCCTTCTAGCCCCATGAGCTAAGTACTATTGGTATTATTATCTGTTTGACAGGTGAGGTTAGGTCCCTTGCTCATGGTCCCACAACAAACAAGTGAGCATCAGAGCTGGGAGGTGACTCTAAGTGGGCACCTCGACTGAGTCTGAGCTTTTTGCTCTCCAGAGGCATCAATCTCATTAAATTTGGATTCAATATGGAAATAAGACAGCTAAGAGCTAGTACCAAGCACATGACTTTAGAAAACTGAGGGGGTCTGAAGGATCACAGATTTAAAGCTAGAAGGGGCCCTTTAGAAATCTAATCCAATGCCCTTCATTTGACAGACAGAAGCCCAGAGAGGCTAAATGATGTCCCACAGCCAATCACTCAGCACTTATAAATTCCCCCGGTATGCCAAGGACTGTGTCAGGCAGAACTGAGGACACAGAGGCAAAAAAGTAACAACGTCTGGCCTCAAGGAACTCACATTCCATCAGGGATTCAGTCAGGATTCAAACGCCCCTCTCTACCTGCTAAAAAATTTTCAGTCAACTAACTCTATAATAAAATACAAACTCATGAAGCCCACCACCTCCCGGCTCTCCACTCCATTTCCAGGCTTATTTAATACAATTCTCCTTCACATCCTGTTCACAGGGCCTTGCGGCTCTCCCCCCTTGGCAGTCCAGCTCCCCCTGCCACGCACTTGCCCGGCCTATCTTGCCAGCCCTTCGCGACGCCCTTTCACCTCCCCAGGTCTTTGTGCTCACTTCCTCCCACATTTTCTTGCATTTACTTATCTGCGCCTATGTCTTAGTCCTCCAATATACAGCAAACTCCCTGAGGACAGGACTGGTTTCATTTTCATCTCTGTATCTTTGTCCATCAGAGATGTTGAATAAATGGCTTCTGAACTAGTGTCATGCACAGGAAAAGCAACCAATAAGTATCTGTTGACTGGATTTTCATTTAACCGAACACTCTGGTTAGTAAAAAGTTACCATACATGGATTATTATATCTTTGATGACTTTCGATTATTATATCTTTTGATGACTTAGAATAAACTACTTAAACCTATAACTGAACATAATTAAAGCTGCCTCTGATAATTAAGATGGCATTTCAAGATCTTACTGGGACTCAAGATTATTAGAACAAGGGGCAGCTAGGTTATGCAGTGGATAGAGCACTGGGCCTGGAGTCAGGAAGGCCCAGCTTCTTGAGTTCAAATCTGGCTTCAGACACTTACTAGCTATGTGACCCTCAGCAAGTCACTTAACCCCAATATTGCCCCCCTCCCAAAAAAAATAATTAAAAAAAAAAAGATTATTACAAGTATCAAACATTAGCAGAGTATAGATACATGAAAGTACTAGGGTGTAGTAGAAAAAAAAACCACAACATTTGGCAGTTGGGAGACCCAAGTTAGAATTTTGCCTCTAACATTTCCTTACTATGTGATCACAGGCAAACAATTCACCTTTCTGAGCCTCCATGTTCTCATCTGTAATAATACCTGTACTAGACTGTGAAGTCCTTGAGAGCAGGAATTGTCTTATGCCTTGCTTTATATTCCCAGATGCAGCCCAATGCCTGGCACACAGCAGGCACTTAAATACTTGCTGACTTGATTACTTGTCTTACATGGTTACAGCTGGGAAAGTGCTATATAAACCTTGAGATATAAACATAAGCTATTACTTTTGTAAATAAAATGTACATAACATAATCTGTGATATTTGAAAAGATGCTTGTAAAAATGCACAGAAAAATTTCCTTTTGGGAAAGCTTCAACAAATTCAGCTAGACACGTACCACATCTCTTTCAAACAATTATTTCCTAGAGAAGTTAGCCAGCCAAAGTCCTTCAAAGTTTTCATCTGGACCATTCTACTGCCAAAACATCTTTGACTTTTAAAATGGAAACTATCAGTAACAGGCCAATATTTTCAGTGACGTAGAAATAATTATCCTATAGAGAGAGTACAGGGCATGCTCTGTAGCAGACTGTCAACCTGGGCTCCAAGCTGGACCACCAAATGTCAGGTCAGAGTGTTTTACCCAACTAAAGCTGAAGATAAAAGCACCAAGCAGAGTTTCTTAAAGATGACAAATTCAATTTGTAAAGGCTGGATCACTGTGCCTTTGGCTCTAAGAGAGATAATAAGAGCAAATATTCAGAATAAGATGATATTTCTCTGAAACAAAAATCCAAGGAGCCTGAAGTCAAATGCAATTTCTTAGAGTTTTGCTCTACTGGTCACAAGGTGAAGCACACCATGACTGCCCAGCAGTACCTTCCCTAACACAAAGGCGATCTTTGGAGTTTAATTAGCACTGTCTGTACACTGCTGAGATTTCCTATTGATCGCTGTCAGCCTATCACAGTAACCTAGACTGCGTACCACGAGCTGTTCCATGGGAGATGAACAGTGAAAATCGAACAAGTTGTTTGCCTTAAGAGACAGCTCTTGGCAATAGCGGCAGCCTTGTCTCACTCACAACAAGCACCCTGGTGTTACCTCAGTTTCCTGGCTTATTAAAAAGCTCTCAAGTGAGCATATCAGACAATTATAGCGCAAGTACTGTATGTCATAACCTCGGTTCAGGACCTTACCTGGCCCCTAACATTGTATTTACAATGGTACTCTAGCAAGTAGCCTGATTTTATCCACTTGAAGACAATCTATAACGAATTCTTTACAGAAAGAATCTTCGTCTTACATGTTAACTCTTGAGAGACCCATGTGCAAAAAGACAAGACATTAATAAGGTTTACTGGTGTCACTAACCCATACTTAAAGGTAATCTTAGAGAAAGCACAAATATGAAACAACCATTTTGATATAAACAGTTTGCCATATGTATCCTAAATAAATCCTTCACATGTTAGTGTTGCAAAATACCAATTCTGAAGAAAGCAATTTACATACTAAATGTGCAGATTTCTACTGCTTCTCAACAGCAGAGGTGTTCATTTGTAGCAAAAATTCCTCCACTGCATCTGGCTCATCAAAAAAGCTCCCAAAAGAGAGTCTATGAGAGCACAGCCTCTGAAAGCAAAAGTGTGCTGGACATGGCAGCAAGAAGCCAGTTCAGAAAGAACTGACCCGCTGACGTTTTATACAAGTTTTTAATCCCTCCAAATCATTCTTCATTTCAATGAAGATTTTTCTTTCAGACTGAGAATATCTGTCATCTCTGGAGCCTTCTAGCAAGCCCCAGTTACAGGTTAAGTTTTAAATAGACAATCAGGGAAATGATGTAAAAAGAAGTTTGCAGTTCAGAGTTCTAGTCTTTTCCAAGGTCTGAGAATAGATGCAATCAATGAGAAGCCAACACGTTGATTTCTCTTAACTAACTCATTATGGTGTTACACAGCAAGAAGGCTTAAAACTGAGAAAAAATATCCAAGTGAAAAAGTAAAAACAACAAACCCCAGTCATTTTTTATTCTTGCTGCTTGGGAAGAAAATGGTGCCCTGCTTCTCCGTGAGTAATTTATAAACCAGAAGCACTGCCCTTCTCAAGCACAACTGAAGTTTTTAAAGTTAAATCTAACATATCCCCTTTTAAAAGGGAGAAATGATATTTAGGAACAAACCTTGATAAAGACTCTGGGCTGAACTTTGTGTTGAACTCTGTGGAGATCCTGGAGGTTTGTGCTGGAAATCTTTCTGCTATGGAAAAAAGAACACAAGTAACCATGAAAATTACTTTGGGCACAAATTGAGTTTCATCCTATTAAATAAGTGTACCATCATTGCATCATTTGCTACAAATGTTTCTGAAGATTAAAATGTAAAGGTTCAAAGCTCTCATTACCTTCTTTCCAAATTCTATTAAAATTCATCAAGTTTCAAGCTAGTCTATTTTCAAATTTCACTAGTTCCTTCTCATTTCCCCACCTGTATTTGAATTCAGAATAACCTGTTTTCTAGTAACTAGCCGAGTCACTACTGGTAACGTTTGCAGCAATAATGGAGAATCAGCAAAGCCTCCTGACTCTTGCTCAAACACCTCGAGTCACTACCTAAGGCAAACCCAAGGCTCCATACTTCATATGAAGCTGCTTCAGCAAGTAAAGAGAGCCGAAATTGATTTCCAAGTATTCGTTTTAAAGAATATTTGCTTTTCTTTGGATCGTGAATCAGTGGTTTATCTTGACTGGATAGTCCTCTCAAATGAAACCATAAGTACACTGAGAAGGGTACATAAGTAATCTTTGTTGGAAGGAAGGAAGCCATAGCTTGCTAATAAAGGCCTGAAGAAATTTAATCCAAAGAAAAGTTAGAACCTTGCCCAATTAAATAAACTTTAAAGGACAAGAGAAATGCTGGGGGAATAGAGGTTTTCATTAATTGAATTTTATGGTTAACTTGGGTTTGGCTAGAAAATCATTTTAATTTCAACTTTCCTAGTGGAAAAATCTTTTACTACTAAATGTCTCAGGCGAACAGGAACTATCTTAAGATGTCCTGTATCCCCTACAGTGGCTTGTGCATAGCAGGAACTCACATTTTTAAAAAACTTAACTGAAAATTCAGAGGATGTTACAAAGCCTTCCTCTCAGTAAATGAGAGCACATGTATTTGTAAAACTGCACACCAAAGTAGCACCAAGTGTTACTTTGTACAAGTGTATCCTGCTTAATAACAGTTACCTCCTGTTCATTCTGGCGATTATGGGGAATTTACGGTCCAAGTAAAGTGGTAATGTGATGTAGTAATTATCCATACCTGACATCAGGATTTACTCCTTTTAGGGGTGAACATGCTTAAGATAGGTACATAAAATATAGGCCTACTTCACAGCATGAAAATAGTGATAAAATACTTTTATTCCACATAAGACTTTTATTTTAGAACAGGAACAGGAAAATCTTTGCAAATATTTACTCATGCATCCTAACATCATCCTTGAGAGATGCTGGTGAAAAAGGAGCCATTAATAGACCGATGTTAACTTAGAGAGGGAGGGTGCTACTGGAGTGCCCCAGGGATCCTGGATTCTTCACCTTGGATCAAGACATAGATCTGAAAGTGACCCAGAGATGAGGTATAACTAACACAATGGATGACAAAACCAAGATCCCCAAACATCTCTCTGGCCAGGTTAGGATGAGGAGCCAAATCAATCTAAGAGGGACAATCATCAAGCTGCACACTTGAGTTAAAACAATCAGCTGTACAAGCTTAAGATGGCAGAGAATCAGCTGATTTTTCACATGAAAAAGATCTAGTGATCTTAAAGAATTGCAAGCTCCCAGAGCCATCAGTGGGATACAATAACAATCCTAGGATTCATTAACACTCTAAGCTGTCCCGGTCAGACCACAGCTAGAGTCCTGTTATCAGTTCTCAGAGTCAAGTCTTAGGCAAGGACCTTGACAAGCTGGATTGCATGCAAAGGAGAGCAAGCAGAATGATAAGGGGATGGGAGACTGTGTCCTCTAACTGAAAAGGATCAGTTGAACGAAGTAGGGATATTTCACCTGACGAAGAGACACTTAAAGGGGAGATGCTATAGCTCTGACTTCGTGTCAGAACCAGAACTAGAACAAGTCGGTAAGAGGAGCAGAGAAAACAGATTTTTGACTAGATTTAAGGATACATTTTCAAATCAGCAGATCTGTTTCAAAGTAGAGTGGGCTGTTCCCTACCAACAAGATCTTCAAACAGAGCTGGAATGGCCATTTCTCAGGCATTTTATGGAGAGAGGTCCTGAGCAAGTACAATAACCTCTGAAATCTCTTACCAACTGAGATGAGGAAAGTATGCTTGAAATTTAAAAGATAGGAAAAATGTTGGAACCAGGCATCATACCCTATTCTTAATTCACATGTATTATTTTAGTAGTTTAAGTTATATCCAGTGTTTAAATTGAGAATCTCTGTCAATTACTTTCTTGGGAGAAGAGCTGGGTTTAAAACCTACCTTGAGTTTATTGCTATTACTGCAGTCGGCCAGTAAATTCTTACAATTCTTATGAACATTCACTGCACAGTCTGAAATTTTTAAAAAAGTCTAAATTATTCCATGATATCGGTCCATAAAGGAAAAATATGGTATTTTTTAAATTAAGAGAGAAAGAAAGAAAAGTCTAATTAAGTCAAACCCCACAATCTTATTGACTAAAAAGATAGGGATTTATAAAGCAAAGTTACTGGTTGAGCCACCTAAAGGACAAAGAACAACATTTTTGGCATGAAACCAGTTAGTCATATAACATGACCCCAAAGTACAAATCAAGTACAAACTCATTCTTCACATAGAAAGATTCCTAGATGATAAAAATAATGACCTTTGTGCAAGATCACAAATCTATTTTCCAAAAAGGTCACCTGTGTTATATTATTTATTTAAGGTTGCTCCCTAACCAAAAAAATTAAGAGGAAAAGCTGAACTCAGATAAAGAGGAAAGTTTTATAACACATTTTCCTTCTCTGGTCAAGGAATAAAGTTAACACAATTTCTCCCAGCATAGGCAAAACCACATAATTGGGCATAAACATCAACTCTATTAAAACCTGAGTAACGAAGAATGCTTGGAGGAGTAAAGGATTCTGTTCCAATCTCCAAAATAATTTTTTATTTCCTCTTATTTGATTCCTTCCATTACAATCAAAACTCTCATTCTCCCAGAAGTGAGCTCAACTAAGTATTAAGAGGAAAACACTTCAAGTGAATCATTCACATTCAGGCCTGGATGATTCAAGGCCCCTCAATCAAAAAAGAACCTCTCACAGGTAAAATTCTGGATGGCATGGCATTTAGGACAAGGAGCATTAGATTCTCCACCTCCAAGTATTTTCACAACAGTAGTTCCTAGGGCAGCAAAGAGCTCTTGGTTGTCATTTTTAAGTATAGATCGCTAAAAAGTAGAAAGGTATCTGTACTTTGTGCTCTGAGTGGTAGGCCACCGGACCAAAAATGTCCTCTTCTAACATCAGGGTCTATATTTATATAACAAGTATAGAATAAAACAAAAAAAAGACCCAGAGAGTATTTTGGACTATTTGCATCAACTGCATATAACTGAAAATAAAGAATTAAGCAATATGGCAGCTAGAAGAAAAGGTGATTTTACTGAAAAACACTCAATTCAAATTCAGCTGTATTCAATCTTGTATAGCCTTCCTACCTAAAGTGAAAAGGTTATTGGGAAAGAATAATTCCTATAACTACCCATTCCATACCCACAAAAATCTTTCAGAAAATACCTAACAGAAACTAATTTCTCTTACAACAATAAAAGCACATTGTTAAAAACCAAGTTAGAAGAGGAAAACACACACATACAATGCCAGAGAACCTGTTTGTCCTCAATGTATTAGGGAAATTATTCAAGGACACCGTAGTTGTGTAAAGGAAACCTGAAGCAGTATTAAGGTCAGCGAGACCAACAAAGACCTACTACCAGAAGGCAATGTCTGAATTCCTGCCCAAGGACAGAGTTCACTGACACTAATTTTTCCAAAACATCACCCTACAACAGGAAATAAAATAACTCTGGTTCTTTTAAAGAACATTAGCCCTGACTGCTCCCTCCTGGAAAGAAGGGCTGTATTTCAAACAAATCTGAACTCTACTAAGGGGGATGGATCATTAGCCAGGGCAACCTGGTTCTTTTAGTCCTCATTCCACAGGTGGGCCTAGAATGTAAATAAAGCGCCGGTCAGTAGTGTTATTTCCAGTAAGTGAAAACAAAGTTTACAACTTTAACCAAGGGCATGTTAACTGTGCAAAGCAATGTCAGAGTCCTAAGATGGCCTGTTCATAGAAAACAGGACCGAGGATTGGTTAGGGGACATCTAAAGTTTCCAATGCTTCTAGCAATACTGGCTCTAAGTTAAAGAAGTCAGCATTGTGTTCCGCCATGAGGAAAACTCAAGAATCTTCCAAAATTCACCAGCACGCCTTTTATAACTGCATTACTTTGAGTCCGAATATATTTTAACAGGCTTCCACCTCATCTCCATGGCTAGAGGAAAACCACTTACATTATAGTAATACATCGTTAAATTCTCTTACTGTTTCTAACAGCCAGTTTACACTCAATGTCAGCTCTCAAAGCACAGCACTGTCCTAGTTACTAACCCCCAAGATGGAGATGAAGTCAAATAATTACTCTCCCTTCAACAAAGACTTGCTTTCAAATATTTTAAAGCATCTGTTTAACTGATGTATTTTAAGCAATCTGGGTGTTAAAGTGTTCTCACCTTCCAAACAGAAGCTGAAGGTTCTCCAGACATAAAAACTGCCAATACTCTAATGCCACCACCTTATATTTTAATAACATGTATATCTTTCAAAGTGCTTTCACAGACATCTCACACCTGTGGTCTAAGGCAGCTGTAATGTCACAGAATTATACAAGTAGAAAAGACAGTGCAATGAGAAGGCAGAGGCAGGTCAGCAATGAAAATAATCCAGAAAAATAAAAACCAATTCCATTTGAAAAAAAAAAAAAGCAAAATATCTTGGGAGGTAGAGAATCCAGTTTAACTATAAGAAATTAGGCAATAGAAATACACTATTATCACCAAGAAGTTATTGGTATCTAGCCTAAACTTTTTCTTGCAGAAAATTATGCCCATTTTCTTTGTTCTGGCTTAACTTCAGTTCAACAATTCCACAAATAATTTACTGAACTAAAGTACAGAGGGGCTGGGGCTGTGAGGAAGAAAAGAAGTAGTCCAAGATTCTAACCACCTCTGGACAGACAAAAGCACAAAAAGATAGAATCAATGTGTAGCCCGGGGTATGGCATTTCAATCTGGACTTAAGTAAGCTAATAGGTCAAATAAGCCAGCTGTTCTAGAAGACATTTACATACCCTAACACCCAGGGAAGGAGATACTACCTATATTAGCATCCTCATTTTACAGAAGAAGAAACTGAGGTTCAGGGGTTAAATGATCTTCCTAGAGTCACAAAACTTGTAAGAAGAGGCAGGTTTTGAACCTCAGCTTCTCCAGATTCCAAGTCCAGCACTGTTTCTACTAGGCAGCCTCAGTAACCAGAGGTGGGGAACCTGTGGCCTGGAGGCCACATGTGGCCCTCCCTCTAGGTCCTCAAGTGCTGCCCTTGGACTGAATCCAAACTTCACGGAGTAAATCCCCTCAATAAAAGGATCTGTTCAGGAAAATGTGGACTCAGTCAAAAGGCCACACACCTGAGGATCTAGAAGGCCACAGGTTCCCCACCCCTAGATCTAATTTATGGGACAAAACTCTTCACAGTTAACTCCCAAGTGGAGACACAGAGAACACTACAGGCTGGTGGGGTGGAGAGAAGGCTGCCTGGGAGGACTCGATGGCAGAGGGCAGGGTGAGGCAGGGCAGGGGAGCAGAGACATGATAAAAAGTCGCCCAAGTAGACAAGACATTAGTGTGGTGTTCAGACAACAGTTAGCACAATTAGGGCACAGGCTGAGGCCTTCTGTGCCAGGTTGAGGAATCTGGACTTTCTCCTCTAGGCCCAGGTTTCCTCACCTAGTTTGGTAGAATATGCACCTGAAGGATGCAAATACAACTCAATTCAACATTTACTAAGCACCTTCTAAAGCCAAAGTGACTTAATTTGGTGTTGGGGATAAAAAAATAAATTTAGCTCAGAATCTGCCCTCAAGGACCTTACAATTATAACTGGGGAGATTACACAAAGACACAAGTAATTAGAATAAGGTTTCTGTGAAAAATTTGATGCTGGCAATTTTGGGCCTCCTAAAATCGGGGTCAGCACACTCAGCCCCCCCATGTTTTTGGTACCGCTGGCTAATTAGGAATGTTTTTGACATTGTAAAATGATGTTTTATTGTAATTTAAAGTGTAAAAGCCAGGGGGCTATATTTGGCCCTCAGCAGTTTTGACAACCATGCCCTAAAATATTAAATACGGAATTAAGCACCCAAAGTACTTAGTTCACATGGCAATTTGGTAAAATGAAAATACCTTATTTCCTCCTCCACTTCTATCCACCATTTTCCCGACCCAACTTTTATCCAATGGATATCATCTATTGCCACTTCTGCTTTCCCATCAAGAAACGGTACTTTGGTTCCATCAAGATTTCAAGTTCCTGTGGCCCAACTAATTTGGTGAATTGCTGCAGTCAATGGAGACTGTAATGAAAGTAATACTGAAAAATGAAAATGAATTTAGTAGCAGTGTGGAGGCTGGATTAGAGTGGGAGAAATTAGCCCTTAGAAAGGTCTCTCACATTCCTCTCTCTCTACCATTACTCTCCACCAGGTGTCAAATTCAAATACCAAAGGGGCCACTAACCTATACAGGATGATTTGGGGGGGGGATATTGACTTAATTTTAAAATGGAACATCTGTTTTATTGAATTTTTAATTTAAGTATTTCCCCATTACATTTTAATCTGGTTTCTCCAGACTCTCCATTGTTGCTCACTTTGGGGCCAAATGTTTCACATCTTAGCTCTAAATCACCACCCCACACCTAGATTACTATAAATCTCTCTTTTTCCAATGTCCCCTGATTCTAGTATCAACTCTTCTCAAACCTACCTAACAAAGGTTAACCTGGCAGTAGAGTATGGAGTACTTTCATCATATCATTCTTCTACTCAAATACCTTCAATGGGCCCCTATTTCCTATGAGAAGTCTACATTTTTCCTAGGACCCTCCATAACTTAGCCTGACTCCAGTTCCTCTCCAAAGTGAGGCAGTAGGGAAGCTGGACAGTTTGTTTGAAAAAAGACCTGGGCATTTAAATGGACAATAAGCTTACTGAGCCTAAAGTATGATAAATTTACATCTTTGCAACTTCTAACCCCAGTTTCTAGTTCTGACTTCAGGGGCTAAAGAGAACACATGTGGCGGTCTTTCTAACACTTGAAAACAGCCATGATGTTCCATCCCTCAGTCTTCTCTCTGTGCCAGATGTCCCCAACTGCTCCAGCTGAATCTCATACGGCATGATCTCTATGAACGTTCCAACTGCTAGGTCCTTCCCAATGTTCTAACCTGCCAAGAC